ATTCTTTTGCATTAGACAAGAAAAATACTGATGAACTTCTGATGCATCAGTATTCCAATTAACAGGACTTGCATCTCTTTCTTGTGAATCAGGTTGAGCATTTCATCAACTCCAATTACAGAATCAGAAACAACTTCTAGGGCATCAAGCTTTTCATCTAGAGTTTGAACTTCATTCATGTTAGAATCCTTTTTCTCATCAGAAGCATCATCTTGCTGCTTGCCATATACAACCATAATAGGACTCTCCTTTCCACCTTTATCCTTTCCTTTCTGATTTTTACGTTTCTGTCTGGCCTGAAGTGACAAGAAACAATTGTTTGTAAGCAGTTAAAAATGAAAACCAATAGCTACTCTGATAGGAATGGATCGGACCCCACAAATGATGATGGGAATGTGTTAGTTAATAGAGATATTATTGGACCTAAACAATGGAGGGTATATGTGAGAAAGAATAGAAAACTCCACAAATAAATAGGAGTTAGTTTAAGTATTATTCTCCATATAAATAAGAGTTAGTTTAGGGAATATTCTCCATATAAAGAGGAGTGTATGGGGCAGTAGTGGGGCATTAATTGATTTTCTGTTTTTGATATTAGGGTTTGGGCAGTGAGAGAATAGTTTCTCTGACTGAGGAGCAGTAGCTCTGGAATTTATTTTACTTTCACATTCATTAATAAAATACTTTTCTTTATCATATTAAATCATACCTCTGTTCTATCAATTGGTCCGACCTACCATTGTTCATGCCCAAAGCTCCTAAGATGGCTGACCGTGTTTCTGCAGTGGAAGAAAGGTTGGAAGGTGTTGAGGCTAGCATTGCTGCGTTACGAGAGTTCATTGGTGCTGAGATTCAACGTGCAATGGCTCATCGTGCAGTGCCGCAGCCAAGCAGTGCGACAGTTTCCTCACCGCTGGATGAGTTTCGTTTATCTGCGAAGAAGGTGGAGTTGCTGGCATTTACCGGTGACGATCCGGTTGCATGGATCACTCAGGCAGAGACATACTTTGAGGTACAACGAATTTCGCAGGATGTTCGTATTCAGTTGACCAAATTGAGTATGGAAGGCCCTACTATCCATTGGTTTAACCTATGGCATGATTCAACAGAGGAAGTGTCATGGGAGAACCTCCGTGAGGCGATGATGGTTCGATTTGGAGGTGGGCGTTTGGAGAATCCGTTTGAGGAATTAAAGGAACTAAAACAATCGGGATTAGTAGAGGAATATATTGCTGAATTCGAACTGTATTCTTCACAGTGTGGTCGTTTACCAGAACAACAGTTTCTAGGTTATTTCATTGGTGGTTTACGTCATGATATTCGTTCTCGTGTGCGTACCTTCAAGCCTCGCAACCGTTACCTAACAATGCAATTGGCTCGTGATGTTGAAAGTGAATTTGCAGTGGCTTCTGGACAGGGTTCTGGAGCACGTTACAAACCGGGTCATGGTTCTTGGACAAAATTTCAAAAGCCTAATTGGGCTTTTCGCGAAGGGGAAGGGAACGGATCTGCAACTCAGACCCAGCCTAATAATTCTTTGGGCCAAACGCGGACTGGTTCGGATTCTGGATCTCAAACCGTCTCAACACGTCCTACCAATTCTACAGCATCTTCTCGCCCAAATTTAGGTGACAATTCACGCCGTCAATCTCGTGGTGTTCGCCATCTACCAAGTGCAGAGGTTAATGAGCGTCGTGCGAAAGGACTCTGTTTTCGTTGCAACGAACGATGGGATCCTCTCCATCAATGTGCAACAAGACAGTTACGAGTGCTTATCTTGGGGGATGACGAAATTGTTAACGATGCAGGAGAGATTGTGGTGTTGGAGGCTGCGACGGAAGAAGAGCTCACACAAGAGGAATTAGAATGTAAAACCATGGGGCTGTTTGGTGTATCCACTAATCCAAATCAGGTCCGGAGGATGAAATTGGAGGGATGTTTACAAGGTGCATTATTTCTGGTACTTATTGACAGTGGAGCCACACATAATTTCATATCACCTAAGGTGGTTGAAGCCCTGGGATTGTCTATGGTGCCTTCTAATCCTTTGGGTGTTAAGTTAGGAGATGGTCATCGTGTCCTAACTAGGGGTAGATGCAATGGAATTCAGATGAAAGTGGGATCAATGCAGATTTGCTTTGATGCTTATGTGTTGGAGTTAGGAGGTGTGGATTTGATTTTAGGAGTTGTGTGGCTAGAAACGTTGGGGAAGGTGATCATGGATTGGAAAGAAATGTCTATGGAGTTCAACCATAAAGGCAGTATGGTGAAACTACTTGGTCAGGATGTAGATGATAAGATGGCTACTTTCCAAAGCATTATCACTCCTTCTCGAATGATAGCAGGCTGTGAATGGCCTACCTTGATGGAGGTGTTAGGGTCACCGGTGTCGTGTGTCTCTGATCAACAGACTAAGGAGTTGGAAGGATTGCTGGAGCATTTTGTTATTGTGTTTAAAGAAATCCAAGGTCTTCCTCCGTCAAGAAACACTAGTCATTCAATTGAACTTTTAAAGAGTGCGGGTCCGATAAGTGTGCGACCTTACAGATATCCTCATTTACACAAGGATGAAATTGAAAAACAGATTCAGAGCCTATTGCAACAAGGGGTGGTTAGAAACAGCACCAGCGCTTTCTCTAGTCCCGTCATTGTGGTCAAGAAGAATGATCAATCTTGGCGTATGTGTGTAGATTATCGTGCACTCAACAAGGTAACAATTCAGGACAAGTATCCTATTCCGGCTGTAGATGAATTGTTAGATGAGTTACATGGCTGTAGTTCTTTCTCTAAGCTTGATCTTAAATCCGGTTATCATCAAATTCGTATGAAGGAAGAGGATATTCATAAAACTGCTTTTCGGACTCATGAGGGTCACTATGAGTTTTTGGTAATGCCGTTTGGCCTCACCAATGTTCCTGCAACTTTTCAATCGGTGATGAATGCAATTTTCAAGTCCTTTCTAAGGAAGTTTGTCCTGGTTTTTTTTTGATGATATCCTAGTATACAGTAGTAGTTGGGCTGAACATTTACAGCACTTGGAGGTGGTTCTTAATATTCTGCAGCAGCATCAGTTTGTGGCAAATCGGAAGAAATGCACTTTCGGTCAGCACCAAGTGGATGTTGGAGATGCTACCTGGGAAGAGGAACGGTTGCTGAAGAGTCAATTCCCTGATCCGCGCCTTGAGGACAAGGCTAATGTTGTAGGTGGGGGTGATGATAGGAATGGATCGGATCCCACAAATGATGATGGGAATGTGTTAGTTAATAGAGATATTATTGGACCTAAACAATGGAGGGTATATGTGAGAAAGAATAGAAAACTCCACAAATAAATAGGAGTTAGTTTAGGTATTATTCTCCATATAAATAGGAGTTAGTTTAGGGATTATTCTCCATATAAAGAGGAGTGTATGGGGCAGTAGTGGGGCATTAATTGATTTTCTGTTTTTGATATTAGGGTTTGGGCAGTGAGAGAATAGTTTCTCTGACTGAGGAGCAGTAGCTCTGGAATTTATTTTACTTTCACATTCATTAATAAAATACTTTTCTTTATCATATTAAATCATACCTCTGTTCTATCATACTCACACAAACCCTTGTGTATATGAAAAAACAATGTTCTTTAAACCCACTAGTAGCACACACGCCAAAGGAAAGAGAACATGAAGAAAGAATCACGTAAACTACATTCACTAAATTGCTGGCTACAGACATAACTATAACAAATATAAAATATATAGCACCGGAAAATACACGTCCATCGTGGTGCATCTCAGTTTTTAAAAATAATGTCATTGCCACTGTTGCCATGAAGATAAGGTAAAAAACATAAGAAAATTATCCAAAAGTTAAAACCATAACTTGTAATACAGAATAAATGAACATGCTACTAGTTCCACTATATAATATTTGAATCTTTTATGGCTTCATAGAATCAAGAAATCTCAAAGAACAATCAAAAACATCAAAGCAATTAGTTTCACCAACAAAACAAGGCCTTGTTTCCTTCATCTTTTGGGGAGGATGAGAAAGAAGATGTCATCAATATTTTGCTGATTAAAATCTGGGAACATCTCATATTTGCAAGAAAATTTGAAAATTAATGGAGAATTCAGTTTCTGCAAAGTTGTATTAAAATGCTACCTTGTACTGTAAATACAGGGAATCAAAGTAGGAGTGAGATAGTATCTTCAACACAGGTCATAAAGTCTTCCTAAGGGAAGTTCTGCTTGGACTGTCCGCAGGATAAATGTCGCAATGCTTGAAAATTCTTGTACTGTATAATGATCAGTGAGTAACCTCTAAGTCTCCAAAAGAATATGATTTTTCCAAAGATCTACTATTGTTCATCCAAAGTAGTAATTCATTCACCTAATTTGTGTATTCAACATACGCTCATGCTTCTGCATGCATAAAAGACATATTATCCACTTAAGACTTGACTGAAATCACTGAGTTCTTCTCCATGGATACAAACTCCTTTTGAGGACAAGTAATTTTTCAAGCCAGAGAATCATAAGTATGATTTAAAATGTGTAATTCCAAGGAAAAAGTATTCATCAAACCTCTCAAATACTCCTTTGAGAGGTTTGATAAGCTTCTCATTATAGAAAATATTACGATAAAAGATGATTTATTAATAGTTCTTTTTTTGTATGTGTGTAACTCTAAAGTCCTCAGCATGGGAATGAAAACCAGGCTGATGAAAAGAGAATAGTAAAAGTTGGTTCTTCTACTGTGTCACGTTTACTGCTAGTGCGGCTTGAGTTGAAATAAGAATGCAACAAACCACAGAATACCGACAAGTTAAGCAATGAAGGAAAAATAATGACATAACATTAAGCCATAACATAGAATAAGATACCAACAAGCCAAGACCTGATCATTGTACAAAATAACATACTTTGTAACTTTTTCTCTTAAGACAAATTTGAGACCAAAGCAGCACTATCTTAAAACTAATACATACATTCTGCAACCATCTCAATCACTTGCAAATTTCAGCAACTGTTTCCACCCAATGTATTGTCTTCTTCCGAGTCTCTCTTTCTTTTATTGTCTACATCCCCGGTGGTTGCCTCCCCTTGGTTTCTTGATATTGGGAAAGGTAGTTTAATCTGATTGACCCTGTCTTTGACCCACTTCATATAGGATTCATCTACGCCACAGGAACTATGGCCTAACTCTCTGTTCTTATAAACAACGTTTTCCCATGCTTTACGGATTTTTTTAAGCATGTCGCTGTCGGTTAGCTCCGCAATGAAAGGGGTATAAGATTCCTTAGGTGGCTCCCCAATCATCGGATATAAAAACTGGCGCAGAGCTAAAGATGGATTGTAATTGATGCAACCCGTTGTCCCTACCAGTGGTATATTAGGGAACTCACCGCATTGATACAATACATTTTTGACTTCTTTCCAGTCAGGGCACCATCGCACTTTATCTGCTTTGAGATTAACTAGGACTATTGCCCAATTTTTACCATCATGTGGCTCTAAGCCTAGCATCTGAAAATCCGTAATGGGGCAAATAGCCTTATAATCTCTTTCAAAGACAAGACTCGTCATCCACACGTAGAGAACCGGTAGACAACACAAAATCCGCTTACTTGATTTTTCACGACAAATGTTCAAGGTATAAAGGATATCTGCCAAGACTGCCGGCACCGGATTTTCCCCCTGGCACTTATAATTAATGAACACGCCAATTGCTGCTAAACTGATCACATCCTGAGAGCTGGGAAACAATACCAAGCCATAGATTGTTAAAGCCAACGTATCCATAAATGTTTCCCATTCTTCCTTCTTGACTAAGTCTTCCATCCGGCTTTCTAAATACTCTCTCGAGATACCTTTGAACGTATTCCTATTTATCTTTTTATTTTTCTAATCATCCTGCTTAACTTTTAGCACATTAGCAATGGTCATCCATGAGTGGGGATGACCGATATAATGATACGGTTTCCCTTTACTCAAAGGGTACCCCATGATTTGTGAAACTTCTTCCAAAGTAGGTACAAGTTGAAAATCTTGGAACGTAAAACATCTAAATGGTGGATCATAGAATTGTGCTAGAGCAGTAATCCCCTTTTCTTGAACATCGACCTCTAACAACTCCAAGATCTTCCCGTACCTTTTCTTAAAATAACTACGCTGATCATTAGTTAAATGGCCGGCAAAGAGTTTCAAACTGTCAAGATTTGGCTTCTTGATTATCATTCCCTTAGTTCTCCTTAATTCTCCATTCTTATAGGAAGGTTCCATATTTCAATTTTAAGCCAAATACACTCCACTTGTAGATTTTGGCCGATTCAACCTACAAAAATAATAATGAGGTGTGATGCTAAACATACTCTTATCAGAATCCAACTGTGGAATAATAAAATAAAACCTCAAATCCTCTGTGATCCTCCAGTAACTAAATATATGAAAACCTAGAAATTTAACCTAGATTTAATTAATTAACAGCTTTCACTTTCAGTCTTAAAAATGAATTAGCAACCTCATAGCACTGAGAGTGAAAATAAAATCTAGAAAGTAGGAACTGAATTTGAAGTTAATAGCAAGGTGAAAACAGAAAGATTTAGGTGTATAAATTGAAGGTGAGTTTTGTAGTATTACTCACCAGTATATGACGAAATGTGGCTGAGTTGTACTCCAACGGAAGAAGATGAAGTTTCTTTTCGGTGTGGCGAAGGAAGTAATGGTTGGAGAGTACACTGGTTGCTTTCTTCTCTTCTCTTCTTTTTCTTTCAATGTATCCGTTAGGTTTTTTTTAAACAAAATATTACTACTAGTAAATACATAAATGTCCTGTAGAACTATATATACAATAAATACATGTTCTTTTTTTTAATTTTAGTTTTTGAATAATGCTAACTTATGTCCTAAGAGCACATGATTAATATATATTTGTTTTCATATAAGTATTTCATATTTCTCTGATGCTATATTTTATCTAATTATTTATAGAGTATAGATGTTGAAAACACAACATCAATATTGATACCGCGATGTCCATAGTAATTTAAAAAGAAATTAATAAAATAAACGTGTTCACAAATTTCATATTGATTTCATACAAACACGCATGCTTTAAAAACGTTTCGGTGCTTTAGAAGTTGTAGGTGTAATACTTAGTCTATAAACTTGGCCTTTAATAATTAACATATAACAGATATTTTGTGTTATAAAGTTTCGGTGCTTTAGAAGTTGTAGTTGTAATACTTTGGCCGTTAATAATTATCGCAGAACAGATATTTTTTCTTATTCCAAATATGTTTTCTATATTAACAAGTAATTTATTTTAAATACTCTGTAGTGCTTTTTGGTTAGTATTGATAATTATAATTTTTAACTTTGACATACTAATATGCTAGTAAGACTTAAATCTCGTGCACATAAAAATGAAAGCAATTATTTATTATTATTTTTAGAGGTAGGGAAGAGGCAGTGAGGCATGAAGTAAGGGGATGAACTTAGTTGATTTTTACCCGAACACTGCACTGCATGAGATATATGATAAACCAGTCTTCTTTAAAATGATGCACCACGACATTATTTAAAATGTTCAAGTGTGGGTACACTATATCACATGCAAATTGCCAGCAATATATGAATTCTTCCAAAACATTGTTCACGAGAATGGAATCTATATAACAAAACATAAGTGTCATTTTAAATTTAATAATCAGAAAAAGACTAAGGACCACATACTGAAACTATTACTATAAGTGTTGTATATTACACATGTACCATCATCTGTGATATTACAAGGTCTATCACATATTCACCATCACATTTGAATTAAAGCTACACTTTTTTTTGTAAGTTATATGAATTCATCCCCATGCCATTAATACATACATTGGTGCTGACCCCAAAATGAGAAATATAGAATCATAGGTTTTCTCAGCTACAAAATATGGTCCCGCGGCGCATTCTGTCAATGTTGTCTCTATCCAATTTCTTTACTACATAAATACAACTAGTCCAAACTCTTAATAGAAATCTGATTATTAAAAAAAAAATGAGAATAGCTACACACAAAAAGTATTGAAATATATATATTTTTAAAATAAACTTTAACAAACGGGCTCTAAGTAGAATAATGGTATACATACATCTATTTTTCCTACATTTGCAATACATAGTTAACCATGCTAAAATCATATCATATTTTCTATACGAGTTTTATACACATTAATGTTATTTGGGGATAACATTTTTTTTTTTTAATAAACAGTATTTGTATTAAGGGAGATTAAAAAGTTCTCCACGCCAAGTTTACATCAACCGATTACATATTATCATTCTAACTATACCCCATAAACCTATAAAAAATTTAGAGGGAATTTTGTCCATTCATACAAACTACAACTTCCTTAATAATTTGACAAAAGTGATAGCCACCTCTAAGACAAAATTAAGATAGATTGTAAAATAAAGTCGACGATACAAATTTTGCCGCTGAACATAATGTTATTCCTAGTCTTTCAGATACACCAACATGTTATTTATCATATTACAGTTGCATTTTCTAATTTACACGTTTCACGCAACCTTAAAATCCAAACTATAGTGTGATCCCAACTTGTCGACTCGTTTATCCAATCTATTTCAATCCAACTATCTACCCTCAACCAAACCATCTTTGATTTAGGACACATGAAGAACAGGTGTAATGCATCTTCATTTTCATGAAAACATAATACACAAACCTTTTAATGCCTACTAGTTAGAATTCCTCGATCAACGAGATTCTTACGAGTTGGAAGTCTATTAAGAAACAACTGTCACACAAAATGTAACACCATTTTCTATCCCACAAATATAATGGCAAATCAATCATATTTATCAGAGTAAAATATTGAATGCAATAAAATTATCTCAAAAGGACGTACATTTCTCAAAATTCAAATATAGTCAATGCTCCATAAACAACGGGTTTTCCAAAATTTACTCAAAATATTACTCAAAAGGCAGCGGAACTCAAAAAGGCAAAAATCCAAAGTTTTTCTTGCGCAGTAACTTAATCAAAATAATTATAATCAATAAAATATGGTTCAACTTAAAAGACCCAAACCCGATGTTACACCATTAGAGCAAGACACTCTAAGTCAACCACAATGACCAACGACCCAAAAACTTCAAAAAGTCCTCGACGACATCCACGACTAAACTTGGTCATCTGCACGTTACCCACGCAGAGGCAACATTCAAATAGGCAGGGTGAATAAAACGATTCATAATAATCAATATAGGAATCAATATATACAACAACGTCACTTTCATGTTCAACATCATCATAATCACCAAGGAACATCAAAGACCACAACATTATAAATTACACCAATTTGTCACATAAATGCAAATGCAACAATACTCATGCATGTGGTACCAATCAAAAAAATTCGATGGACACTAGGCCATCAACCCTTCATAGATCCACAACAGTAGGATCAATTCTACACGAGAACGGGAGTACAACAAAATACCTCACATCCACACAATGAGACTGAAGCCATAAGAATCGAGGTCCTAGACCGAAGTCCGGAATGCATGTGAATGCATGATGCACACGTCAATATCATCCTCATAATAAACTCATTAGGTGCATCATCATTCATCAAAATCATCATAATAATCATGTCATCATAGAATCATCAAAACTCATGAAATCAACATCATAACTCATCATCATTACTCATGGGGATCATCATACAATCATGTATTAATCTCAGAAAAATCATAGTCATACTCATGGTAATTCATCAAATAAATCACAACATCAAAACATCATTGCACAAGTGTAACACCCCAAAATTTTCCCTTTTGTTTCTCTGCATTTTTCATTTCCGTATATCATAGCATTAGTTCTCGAGACATGAGATCAAGGTATTTTCATGGCTCGGAGTTCCTTTTTATTGCAAGAGTCTAAACAGCGAGCGTCAGAGGCTCCGACATTTATTTTGCCCAACGATCAAAGGGGCGGTTTTATTTTATTCAACAGGTTAATTTTCAGCTCAGGAGACAATACATAGGGTATCTCAGGCGTTCTCACAGTTACCATATTCAAAAGCACGTTTCAGAGGCTTAATAGAGCTCAAAATAGGTAGCAACAGGTGATCATGCAGGATTCCCTCCATTTGGCGCCAAATGTGGCACTTTTTGAACAGGGTAACCGATTACTGCATATAGGGTAACCGATTACTTCAAGCGCAATTTGCCAAAATATTTGAATTTTCAGCATGTGCAATTTTCCAACCATTCTCAACCATTGATTTCACTTGATCATAATTGGAAGGATCTAGAATTATTTCAACTTTCACCATTTCCCTCCAAATTTCAAACACTTCATTCCTAACTCCACTCCTAATTTCCATTCCAAATGTTAATCCTTATTCCAACCCACATTTTAATTCCAAACCTAGAGCTTATTTAAGTGAATTTACTCCAAACCTCTCACACACAAAAAACCCTTCATTTTCAGATTTCACTTTCATTCTTGAGAATTTGCTCTCAATTTTCTCTCAACTTTTTCGATCCCAAAACCTCCATTAGAGCTCTTTCACGTGAATTCTTTGATTCTTCATTGGAATCATAGAATTCTAGAGCTAAACCTCCATCATTCATCTTCATTATCTTCAATTCACTATTCAATTTTTGTTTGGTTTTGGATATGAATTTGGAAGTTAGATTGGAAGTGCTTTTTTGGATCATTTTTGCTTGATCATGCTTGATCTTCATTTCCACCATAAGGAAGCTCTTGGATCTTAAAGAATCTCTGGGTTTCTTGCTTAGATCTGCTAATTTCAAGTGAATCAACACTCACCAAAGCAAATCTCCGCTTTGAAGGTTGACAATTCTAGATCTAATTATGTTTTGAACTTATTTGAATAATCACAATGTAGATCCATGGTTTTTGCTATTTTTTGATCTATTTTGGTGATTTGGATCATGGTGATTTGTGATGTCAATGCTTGATTGTGTTTACATGATGTTTTATCACTGTTTCTTGATGATAATTTCGTGCTTGATTGATATCATGATCATATGGATGATTGGAGAAGTTGTTTGATGCTAAAAACTGATTTTAAAAACTGATTTTCTGCTTCTGGTTCAGTGGTAACCGGTTACCTTATATAGGGTAACCGGTTACCCTATCAAATTTCACGTTTCTGGGCTATTTTTCATCAAGTAACCGGTTACCCTATATAGGGTAACCCGTTACTTGGGGAAGATTTGCCTATTTTTTTGCATTTTTGCATTTTTTGCCCATTGTTTTGCATTTTTTGCAATTTTTTTTGCATTTGTTTGCTTGTTTGAGTTCCTTTTCATATGTAAACTTCGTAGATTGATATGATGCATTTATATGATTTGTTTTGGACATATTTCATCATTCTTAAATATTTGATCTTGATTCTTCGACGCGCAACTTCTGGTTTCCGTTTTGAATGTTTAACATGTTCATGTGATTTATTTGATGAATGATATTTTCACTTGTTTGTTTATAGCATGTTAATTGATGACCATTGATGATTATGTTGATGAACATTGTGATGCATGATTGCATTTGTTTCCGTTTCTGCTTCGTTGCATGTTTGTTCGATCGGTTGACCGTCCAATTTAATTTGGAAAAGAACATGTTGATCTTGATGATTCTTGTTGATGCATTGTTTTTGATCGATTATGTTTGATGATTGAAGCATGTCCATTGTTACATGATATCTACCCATGATTGGTGTTTGTTCTTGATTAATTCCATTCAAGCTTGCTTGCTCCATACTTTTCACAACTGTCTGTGCTTTGAACTTACATGTTGTCTTTGTGTTACTTGCTTGCTGCCTGGCTTTTCACACCTGTTTTTATGCTGAAATATGTGTTGTTATATGCTGTCTTGCTTGTATGCTGAATTTTATTGTTGTCTTGTGTAGGAGGTGCTGTTATAGCTGCTATTTTTACCCTTTTTCTTGCTTTTTGCCTTGTCTTTGCATGCTCCCTTAGAATTCTTATTCCAATTTAATTTCTGATTAAATTTGGAGTAAGATAGACATTAAAATTTTAACCCATGCATGATAACAAGTAGGCTAGTCCCTTTTAACCTTAATCTTAGGTCCATATTTTGCATGCTAACATTAGGATAGAATCTCCTTTCGCATCCCAACTTTAGGACTACTTTTCATGACAACGTTAGGGTCGAGTTTTCCCTTAGACCTTCCGTGCGTCTCTCTTCTCATCTCAAAGCACATTCTAACGCATCTAATAAATCTGATGAACATTGTACACTACAAGCCTTAAGTACGTTGGAAATGATGAGTGAAGGGTTTCTCCTCACTTGTCTAGAGTGTTTAGTGTATGATATACAACGTATTCGCTCCTATGTCATAGTCTTTAGTGCAACGTGAATCACAAAGCAAACTAATTCACTCCACTAAAACTCACAAACAAAACACAAACCTTTTATCCTTAGGGATTTGTGTTTCAATTTCATTTTCAGAAAAGAGTACATTACTTTTCCGTTCTATCGCAAACAGGCATTATCCTTAACTATTGAAGTGGGAACTTAACGTCGCTCATAAAAATACTTAACCAACCAGTGGTTTCGTTACCCGAACTATGTTTGCTTTGATTTTTCATACCAGATGAGGATACATAGGCACAAGACGGTGATGTCTTGCCGAGCAACCTTCTCCCATCACCCGTAGTTTTCTGAACTACGTTGAATCTGACTTTTCCATTGCACGAGGGAATATGTAGGCATTAGGCAGTGATGTCCTATCAAGTCTCTTTCTTTTTCTTTTGTTCTCGTTTCCGTTTAACTTTAGCTTATAGATAAACACGTCATTTGATTAGGCAACAAGCGTGGCCCCCGTTGAGTATAACAGATGTGAGAGGTGCTAATACCTTCCCCTTGCGTAATCGACTATCGAACCCAAAATTTGGTTGCGATGACTTTGTCTTTTCCTGTTCTTCAGGTTTTCGTTGATCGTTTCCTTTCCCTTTCTTTCGGATAAATAATGTTCATTGGAAACTCTTTTGTTTTTCCGTCGGGTGTTTTCGCAGTTGCGACAGCTGGCGTCTCTACTGAGGACTACAACTGAAAATACTGACATTGTTACAGCTACCGCTAGAAATCCTCCTGAGAAGAAGCCCCTTATTAGTCCCCAAAAAGTTGATGAGTTCCAAGGAGCATCTATGGAAAATGATCCTGTGACGAAGACACCTCCGATTCAAAACGCCACCAATGAGACTGGCAGGGACGGTGCAACTACCAGTGGTAAGGAAAATCCCTTAATTATACTGCCACCAAGGATAATCCGACTCCTAAAGGTGGACCTCATGTCGAAAAAACTCTTACTCCCGAGGAGATTCTGGCGACGAAGCAGTCGAACCCAGCTGAATCTTTGAAGGCCCTGCTCAGGCTTCGTAATTCGTCTGTGGACGCTCCCCCTGCTGGTTCGACGACCATTCTTAAACCAGAAATGGATGAATCACTACAATAAAAACAATGGATTGCGACGGTTATTTTGGCAGGTTACGACGGTTAAAACCACAATCAATTACATTTTACGTCGGTCATAGTACCGTCGCAAAAACGTGTGTCCCTAGGCTGTTTAGCGACGGTTGCCAAAACCTCCACACCAACCGTCGTTATATTTTACGACGGGCTAGAACTGACCTAATTTGGAGATGGAGACGGTTAAAGACCGTCGTTACTAGCCTTTTGATTTTTCATTTTGGCAGGTTACGACGGTTTGAACCGCCGCAATTTGTGTGACAGTTTCCCATGGATTTTCATTTTTATTTTTATTATTATTATTGATTATGATGGTAAATTATGGCATATTAAACCGTGTGAATATTTATTATAAAAAAATTTACCCTCAATTTTTTAGCATTATTATAAAAAGATAATAAAAATAAAATAAAATTATGTAACTTTGTGTACAAATTAACATGATCTATATTTTTTTACAAGACATCTAACTTGACAGCACCAGGTCCATCCAAAAGTGCACAATGATTTACTTTACAACAAATGGACAAGAGGCTCGCCTAAACGCATATACTCTAGGAACTAATAAATCTAAAATGACGCAAAATATGGACATAAATTGCAGCATTTGAAAAACTATTGGGATGAAGAAGGTTGTCAATCCAGTTTCTGAGTCATAGTTGAAGTCCCATCCACCATGCACTTTATTGGACGCTGCGAGGAGTAAACTCTAAACTTTCCATTTCCTCTAACTTTCAAACTAATAGTCGCTGTGGTCGTTCGGTTAGGACCTAGAGAAGTTATCAGTTCTGATGATACAACCTCTCTTTCAAATAGTTCTTGTTTGTTGTCAGTCTCTCTATGAAGTTCGACCTCATCCACAGCTCCTCCAGTGTTGAACATATCCATTAGGCCTACAGCTGCAAATGATATACTGCAAGCAATTTCCTGTCAAATGAAACAGTACATCAGTCAGTTTAACAAAATCAAAGGCAGAAAAAAAATCCAAAAACCAATGAAATAATATTGTATATGTTGATGGTGAACTCTTACTTGGATTGGACAAAAATGGAAGTTCAAACTCCATAACCTTCAGTGTCACTGGAATAGAAACACCTTTCGGTAGCCGAATCACCTCGCCTAAAAAATGGAGAGGAGTATTAAATGATGATTGTGACTTGTTTGAATTCATATGATAAATTAATTGTGAATAATTAATTGTACCTCATCTGTATGCATAAACAATAGTCTCCCCATGCCATTCAGCACCAGCTACTTGATTGATGAGATCAACATCGGAGGGACAAACAGAGCTAGTAAGTGTGTCGGGATATATATCGTGAATGCGAGTTTTCTTCTCTACCTTGCACCACCCAGCACCTTGGCAGTTAAATACACCAACAACTCTGGTACATTTGTTCATGTTCCATATTTTGAGCAGACTGAAAATTACAACTCAAATTAATAAACAAGTCCTCAATTTATGTCTAAGAAACATATATTAGTTACTAGTTAGAGTTAAGTAAAAACAAACCTAGTCCTATCTCTTGCCGGATCAACAAATAGAGAGTCGCGTGTAGGCCTGCCAGACAGCTGAGCACGGAGAACTGAACCATCAGAAAGTACCAATTTCTTAAAAAGATAAAAATTATGGTTTCCTGGCTCATCACTGTAATATCATAATAAAGAAAAGAAAAACAATATCCGTTAAATCTATTCCCAATTCAACTATTTGTAAAAGTAACAAGTTTGCAATGGGATAATAATATTGTTGTACCTAACATAAATTAGACATCCATTGATTGCACGAGCTGCAACATGATACTCAGCTGCTGTATGTAAACTCTGAAATCACAAAGATATTTGTTAGAATGAAGAAAAATCAACACATAAAAAGAAGGTACTAACTAAATTACAGTTCAAGATCAATTCAGTTTCACTTACATGGAACATGTCCCAATCAGGTTGCATAAACTTTCCAAGGAAAAGTGAATTGTATGCAACAGAAGAAATATGGATTGTGTGGGAAGCAGGATCACGTGGGTAAAAATCAACAGAGGCTCTCACAACAGCAGTCTGCTTAGCACTATAAAGTCCATCAGTGTTATGACACATACACGCTATGCATCCATTGTCGGAAAAGTTACGAACAATAGAAGCCTCGAGTGCACGATGATAGCTGCGGGTAAGTGAGACTCGGCCACCATGTCCTGCGCCAAGGGTTTCAATAATGTTTTGCACGTCCACCTTCACTCTATCTACTCCACATGAAGCTAAATAAGCATGGAGCTCATTGTAGAAGTTGAAAACCTTATTTGGATGTACTAGACCGAAGCCATGTACAAACAAGCTGTCCATGACAATCTTTGGTTGGTTTCCCAATACTCCGGGCGATTGCACCGGGTATGCCAAAGCCGTGTCGTAATGTTCCATGCCAGTTGTTGCTGGCTTCACTCCACCCCAATAACCAGCTAGTGCATGCCATACATAAACATATATGTCCACCAAAAGAGTAACCAATTAAGAATTCAGATGATTAATTTGTTGAGCTACTTATTACTTCTCTAATACAGAAAAGAGAATGCCCTGCATAAAATATTGACAAATTTTATGGAACTAGGATCATACTTGACATTGTGGTGTTTCTTCATTCCGTTAACAAGATGTTTAAGACCCGATGTTGGTTCGCTGTGCTCTCCATTTTTATTCTTTTAAAAATTTGCATTCTCTTTAATACCAGTCAACATAGTAGCAAATTGTCGCTACTGCGAAAAAAGAGGCCGTCAATGATAGAAGAGTCGCCACCGTGCGTTATTTATCCCAAAAGAGGGAAAGGAAACACTCAGAGAAAACCTAACGAAAGAGGGAAAAGAAGAGGTCATCGCAACCAAGTCCTAGGTTCGGGAGTCGGTTACGCAAGGGAAAGGTATGAGCACCCCTCACGTCCGTCGTACTCGATGGGATCCACGCTTGTTGTCTATCTAAAAGGGTGTTAATTTATCTAGCTAAAGGCTTAAGGACAAAAGAAAAAGAAAAGATGACTCAGCAAAGCATCGCTGCTCCGTGCCTACGTATTCCCGTCTGGAACGAGAAATCAGAGTCAACGTAGTTCGGCTAACTACGAGCGAAAGAGGGGGAAGGTTGCTCGCTGAGACTTCACGTCTCGTGCCTACGTACTTTTATTGGGAATGAAAGATCAGAACAAACGTAGTTCGGGCTAACAAGAACACTGGTTGGTTCAAAAGTTTTACCCGAGTAGGGTTAACAAACGGTTCTAGCAGTTGTATGCAGTTCGACCTTTGGAGACTTAGGCGTTACCGTTTGCGGTAGAACTGAGAGTTAACAAAACTCTCCTTATGAAAATGGTTTTCCAAGGATTAAAGGTCCCAAGGGACAAAAATAAGTTTGAATGTTTGTTTTAGTGTTTTTTAGAGAAGAAGTGTTTTGAGTTTGTTTGTAACTCATGTTGCACTAAAGACTTGGACTTAAGAGTGAATGCGTCGCATGTCACCCAAAGGGTACCACACTAAACATCCAAGCTATTGAAGAGAGACCCTCCAACAACCCTTTCTCAAGTGCTTAAGGCTCGTAGCGTACAACACGTGTTAATCCTTACTAAGTGTTTTATGAAAGTTTGAAGATGAGAAGAGAAAGGACGCACTAAAGGGGAACTAATCCAAACCTAAAGTTGTCATGAAAAATTGATCTTATGATTGAGGTTATAAGGGAGATACCTAATGTTATCATGCATGGTTAGAACCCTAATGTCTATCATAACCTCTCTTGAACAAGAGAGATTAGAGATCCTAAGGGAAGGAAGACAAAAGAAGAAGAAGAAAGAACAAAAGAAACATGCAAATGAAGGAATGCATACATAAAATGCACAAGTAGAATGAAAGTGGGAGGAAAATAGTGTGGAGAAGTATCCTCCACAAGCTCATCTCAACCAAGCATGCATATGAGAAATGCAAAATAAATAAAGAAGAAGATGCATCAAAAGCAAACACACAAAAGCATTCAAAAGTGGGATGAAATGGCCTAAACCAAACAACATCAACCAAAATACACAAAATCACACACAAATGAAAGTCAAAGGAAGCCTAAAACAAAGTGAGGATGGAAGGCTAATATGAGGGCAGCAAGGAACTCATAAAATTCACTCAAACATGAGCATCACAAACAATGTGCAAAGAAGCACAAGAAAACATCAAGAAAAGTCCTCTAGGATTTCATCACTTTAGGTAGGCTTCAAGTACCTCCAAAGGAGGGACCAAACCACCTTAAATGACACTCCATGATCATTGGACAGAAGGGAGATGAAGAGGAGAAAGCTCAAAAGCAAGAACAAGTCATATCAAAAGGAAATGCAAGCAAGAGCACAAAGAAAGCAAGCATGCATAACATTGAAGTTCAAGTTGAAAGCACAAAAAGGAATGCACAAACCAACAAGCAATGAACATAATTTTGACCTATAAATGAACATACAATAAGCTAAACATGTCTATTATGTGAAACAAAAAGATTTGAGAGCTCAAAGGATCTACAAGGGTCATTTCCAATTCAAACTAGGTCATACACTTGTGTGAACTTCCCTTGGAGGTAACTTAACTTGCAAGTTACCTCAAAATTAGGAAAATGGTTCAAAAATTAACAAATAAAATGCACAAGGAAGCTAAACATGTTGGCAAACAGAGGCCACAAGCACAAGGCAAATATCCCCTCAAAGCACCATCAGAAGAAAAAGTTCCTTAAGATGTACCACTTTGAAATGGGAGAAACAAAGGCCAAAAGAAAAGCACCAAAAGTCAACCCTAAAATCAACCAACCAGGGGCAAAATAGTCCTAAAAAATTGATCAACTCATCATTGAGATGAGGATCAATTTTAAATCATTGGATCAAAAAGAATGGAGAGAAACAAATGCAAGAGCAAGCAATGTCACAATTTAATCCATTTAAAACAACTCCAATGTTTAATTCCTTTTTTAATTGAAAATAAAACTAAAAAATAAAATAAAAATATCCTAAAAATATTAGACATCTCAAAGTGTCTAAAAAGTATTTTTGTGAAATTTTAGGAACATTGGAGCTATTTTATTTTGAATTAAATTGAAACAGAATTAAAACAAAATAAAAAATAAATAACAAGAAAATGATAAAGCCAATGGTGCAAATAGCAGTTCAAAACAATGTAAAACACGTATAGGCTTAAAGGAGGGGTGTAAATAGGAAGCGAGGTCCAAGCCCAAACCAAACAAAAATCTGGCAATTGTGTGTGACATAGCAAACAAGGTGCAGCGTGGAAATCAAACATGGATCACATGATCAGAAAACAAACAATCCAAAGGTCCAGAATATGCCAGCTCAATTAATGAATATTTGAATGTGATCACGTGTGTGCAAGGTGTGACTGTGCAGCGTAGGTCTTAATTTCATGCACACGATGGAAAATAAGTCAGATCAAACAAACCAAAACATGACACAACATTATCTTCTCCAATCAGACATGGAGGGAAACAGGTGGTGGCCAGAAGACAACTCCGGTCATCTTCCTCACAGCTCCGGCCACCATGAATCACACAACAACACACAGTCATGAATATTTCACCAAATTTGACAAACCTTATATGAAAATTCATCTACAGATCACACTGAATCCAAATCCACAATCCATTTTCATTAAGTGTGCACACATAATTTAAATCGAAGCAAACAAGTTTGGTGCACCAAAATCAAAAGTTCACAAAACTTATCCAATTGTGTCCAAACATCATCCACATGTTACATAGGTCACAGATCAAGCAAAATTGAAGCACGAAAGCTCAATAATAGATCAAACCAAGTCCAAACAGTTTGGAGCTCACAACATCAACCATCACAAATTCCAGTTCGTTTTAGTGATTAATGATCTACATGCTTCCTAGGTCTCAAGTATGCAAAAATGACAAAGAATCATGGCATAATGAGAGAGATATGGTGAATTGAAGAATACCTAGTGGAGAGCTTCCACTGAGCGTGATCCTTTGATGAAGCTTAAAGAAAACTATCCAGAAACGTTCCACACACTTCAGAGAAGCTTTTGCAATCCACAAATTTGCTTGAAATGGCTTAGATCTCAGAATTCGTATTTTGAAATTTCTCCACTTTTTCAAAGTTGCTTTTTCTCCAATTCTCCACCAAAACGAGTTTTGAGCATTTGTGAATGATGGAAATGTTTTATATGATGGATTTGAATCATAAGAAAGCCCAATGGCAGTCCCTAGAGCCCAATTGCAAATCCATGGAATTTGAGTTTTGGAGCTTGTGAATATGCACGAATTTGCCTCCAAAATGCTTCAAATCATCTGCTGGTAGTGTAAGGAGTATGAATGGCTGTGATTCAATCCTTGTTTGATCTCAATGGTTGATATTGCAAGTGTACCTTAAACTTGAAGTAAGCTTGGAAATGGCACCTCAAAACACATCAAATTCAAATTTTGAAATTGCCATCATGTTTGGAATATGTTTTGCACTCAAAATATGTACTCACTTGCACAAAAATGACCCAAAATAAATTAATTCCAATTTTGCCCTTTTAAGCTTTTTTCCATGAAAATTCCTCCACCAATTCATCATTCCAAGCCTAAACCATGACTTCTTAATATTTGGTTTAACAATGGACACCATTTGGAGCACATTTGATGTTGGAAAGATCTCCACTTGAAGTGTGCAAGATGGTGAAATGACCTATAATGAAAAATGACCTATAATCTCACTTTCCCAAAATACCCCTGCCTTGCAAAGCTTATAACTTGAGTTCTACAAATTAGAATGAGGACTTCTAGGACTTTCTGGAAAGCTAAGATCATGAGAAACAACTTTCATGTTCACTTGAAGTTGAGGAGAAACATCCTTCCAGGTCAAAAATGTCTTGGAAGTTGGTTGACTTTTGTTGACCAAAATCATATTCATCTGGTTATCTGTAACTTGTCAGCACTATAACTAGAGTTCCATAAATCCAATGGAGGACTTCTAGTACTCAAAATAAAGCTAAGAACATGCTATGCAAGTTTCATGTGTGAGCCAAGATGAGATGAGACTTGCATCTTAAGATATATGGTCTTGAAGTTAGGCACTAAACAAGGGATTTTACATTGAGAACCCTAATTTAGCAACTCCTCTTGAATTGATCTTGGAATAACATCTCAAATGCCTCAACACAACATTTCATGATCATAATGACTTGAAATTGAGTCTTAATCTCCTTCAATTGCACAGTTGACTCAGGGTTGACCAGATGAAAATCCTAATTGCAACACCTTCAACTGTGGCTTTTCACACTTGGTATGATGACTTGGATGAGCTCCACAATGACCCTTAA